CCCCCACCCTCCCCTACCTTCCCTCTGAGGTTTGACTGTCTGACCTTGAACAAATCATTTTACTTCTTTGGACACATTTTTCTCATATGTAATTTTATGGCATGGCCCTAGAGTCCTTAGGATTCGAGCTTTACTATTCTTGGACTCTAAGGCTGGCCCTGAGTGACATGTGAGACTGCTCTCTGTCCTCACTCATATGGCACAAATATCCTCGCCTGGGCACAGAGAGGTCTCGGGGAAAGGAACCCAGGTCTGAAGCAGGGAAATGAACAGGCTCCTTGTGCTGGGATTTATGCTCTCCACTGGCTTTGAGTGTGGTATTTGCCAGGGAAGCAGTGTCTTCTGGAATACCCTGACTTGCTGGGGATTATGGTCCTGAACTCAGGTAGGTTTCAAAATACATGTCATTATGGATGCTGCTTTCTGTAATGAGTGTCTGTAACCTGGTTGCTTGGTGACTACCGGTATTTGGAGAGGAAGCAGTGGAACAAAGAGACCTGCTGCTGGTGGTCAATGGCCATGTTGGTCAATGACCACATTTGGTTCAATCATGGAGTCAGTCAAAACAAGTGTCTGTGTACAAGATTTGGTTTCTCTTCAGGAACTATTGGGCAATAGGAGACCCCCAAAGCAAGAGGGAACTCATTTATCAAACGATAAATAAAGGAAGAGTTCATAACAGATGATGCAGAAGAACAATCTACACTGAAATGAAGCTGCACTCATGCCAGTTCATCAAGATGCAGGGGAGCCTGTGGTTACGAGCACAGCATTTTTAGTATGTGGTTTTGGCCAAGTTATTTAATCTCTCAAAGCCTCAGTTTCCTCATAGCTCAGAAGGATATTGATACCTCCTATGGTTGTTCTAAGGAGATAATATAAATGCCAAGATATGTTAATCACAGGTAAGTATTATTATTAAAACTATTAATATTATTGCAAGCCTAAAATTCACACTGGATTTCAAGGACTTGCTACCCCTAATCTAATAAACTATAAGAATGTAAGAATAAATGTTAAAAACAAACCATTAGATGATCAAATGATTGAACTATAATGAATATTGAGAGAAAAAATTCTCATAAACTTTTTAAATCAGTGCACCATATTTATTTTTTTTGTTCTGTAATTTAATCTCTGGAAACTTATTGTGAAAAGGTAGCCATCTACTTTGCATTTGATTTATTTCAGTCAGTGTATATGAGGTGGGATTAGAAATTAAAGATAGTGGTTTCCATAAACTTTTTTCATTGTTCCACACTCCTATTTGTCTACTTTTGTCTCCTAACTTTGGGTGGAATAAATGTACATTTGCTGAACTTGTTCAAAAAGAGAATTAAGACCCTGAATCATGAAAAAAAAAGGCATTGCTTTGTAACAGAACTTTAAAAAAACTGTGAAATATTTAACCAGAGTAAAATGTTTCAAAAAATCAACCCCGAAGAAAGTGAGTGTTAAGATACTGTGAAACTACTCTTACAAAAACAGAGAAACCACTGAAAACTAGTCTGGTTTGGGTCCAAGTATTTTCGTCTCAATGAGCTTCAACTTGCATTTGGTCCACTGAAAATTCAGTGAAATTTTGAGCATTTAAATGGTGATCATGTGTGGTAGCCACGGCTCAGAGCAGAGCACCTGGGAGTGGGGGTTTTCTTGTGTTTCACTGTCTGAATCTTTCAGAAGAGAAGTGAAATTCTATAATCTGAGTTTCATTGATTTATTTAGTTTTGACCTGCATTTTCATGTGCAATTTCTTCTATGTCAGGTCATATGTTAGTCTCTTTCGACTTGAACACTTTATAGACAATTTTGCAAGCAGCATTTTCATAGAAAAGAAATTAGGACTGAAATCTAGGATTCTGGCTGCCTAACACAAAAAAATCAGGATATCCTAAATTCAGTTTTTAAAAGATGTTACATAATTACTCACTTATTATTGAATTGACGCACTAGTTTTTTTTTCCCCAAGCAGTTTCACCACATTATTTTTTATTTAAACTTTTTAAAAATCGTGGTAAAAAAAAAACCATAAAATTTGGCATCTTAACCATTTTAAGTGTACGGTTCTGTAGTGGTAAGAATATTCACACTGTTGTGCAACAGAGCTCCAGAAACTTTTCATCTTGCAAAACTGAAACTCTATACCCATTAAACGATAACTCTGCATTTCCTCCTCCCCCCAATTTAAGTGGGGTCTGTATATGTTTTGTGATTGCAATTTAATGAGGTCAGAGGTCATTTAGGTGAAATTGAAACTGTAGGGTACTTGGAAGTATGAACCAGAGGGATGAGTGTTCACAGGGTTTTAATTAGTTGAACTATAAGGATGCTACTTTATGGAACACCTGCACTTCTTGAAAGACAGGTACCGATCGTAGTTTTGAGTAAGACGATTTAGAATAAATATCAAAACCAGGAATGGAATAAGGCAGAGAACCCTGATAATGAAGGAAGATAACTTTTGAAATATGTAAATAACCAAGAGAAATTGTGAAATTGTTTTCCATGGAGATATTAGAAAGGAAAATATTCACCTCAACATTGTGACTTAATTGAGGTGCTGCCAGCATGCCAAGAGGTATATAACCAACCCCGTCCCTAGACTTTTCAAAGCTGTGCTTAAGGAGTCTGGTGTGGCCACAGTACAAGGCAACATCCAGAAGGAGGTGATGTTGAAATGTGGGTAGTGATATCTCACAGCCTTCCTTTGCTTAACGGAAATCATTTTTAAAATGCTCAGGGTCCTGGTTGGGAAATGAACATCATGGAAGAGGTTTAAGTGCCAGAGGGAGTGAGGTCCTGACACTTTGGTGCTGTTGCCAACACTTATTTTAAAAAGTCAAGATGATGTGGTGTCATCTTATTGGCTACCATCATTATCTTCACAGCTCCCATGCACTGATATGATGGGAGAAATATGACATGATAATGATAATGATGGTGCTGATGTGATGATGAGAACAGTGATCATCTGAACTCCTGGATGTTCCATCTTTCCATCAGATCCCTTGCCTGATGTCTCAAAATTTAAAAACTCAAGGTTTGATGATACTTTGTAAATCTCTACATACAGGGTTAAATTTGTAGATTGTATTACCTAGAGCCACTTAAGACATGGTTCTAGCATTTTTCAGGTAAACTTTATTAAACTGGTTTTGATGTGTCAATCTGGGAACTTAATTATCATTTATAAACTTGTTTCCTTGCTAAAAATGTATTTTGAGTCCAAAACAAATAAATTAAAAATTTCAAGGAAATGCCCTTTTTAAGTAGGAAATTGTTTCAATTTGTTCTTGTAATTCTATATGAGCATTTAATAAAATATTTTAATTTGGTTTTGGAATGAAAGCTATAGCTTAATTTTAATAATGGAGAACAGTAGGGTAGCTAAAAAATGAACGATACTGCATGTACTAAATAGAAAGTCATTTATATTTAATCATTTGACTTTGACATATAGGATAAGAGTTTTTAAACTTCAATTGCATTTTATATAATGATGCTTTTCTTATTTTGATATTAACATGAATTTTCATGTCTCTAAACTCATATCAGATGTTTTGCCTACTCTGGGCTTATTGTGAGTGGTGGTGAGAGTTCATCTAAAATTTAAAATATGTTGTAAACAATCTACAAATTAGTGGATCCAAACACAAATAATCAAGTACAGATGGTGTTAATGCTACTTGGGTAGTGATGGACCAGAGGAAAATGTAATGGAAAGGAATATGCAGCTGCAGTGAGCTATTTCACTAAATCTGGGCTGTCAATACTCTCTGGAGAGTTATTTTTCTTGAAGGTCCTTCCTGTGGGGGAGTGTACAGTGATAACCCCAGGTTCAACGATAACACATTGGCATATGAAGAAAAACCACATGCTGCATTTTTTACCTCATTCATTGTTTGAATTGATCAGCTGATTTGGTCTCTAGACCTGGGTTCTTTTCCTTTCTCAACACCCCATCTGATTCTGATTCTCTTTGCCTCTCTTGGTTGATGGGGACAGTTCCTGGTTGGAGGAAGACTGTTTTTAAGACAAGAGAATACGGGTGTCTGCTCTCCTCTACTAGGACCTACATCAGCGTTAATACGGTGGGCACACCCTCTGAGAAGGACTGTCATCTACAACTTGGGGACATTAAACATGTGGAAAGGGTCCAGGGAACAGTAGAGTTGGCACCTAATTAGAACTCCAATGGCTTGCGGTTAGGTTTAAGGAAAGTATAATAATTTCATCAATATTTACCAATAGCTGAATGTTTTCCATGTGCTAGGTGCTATGTGCATCATCTTGTTTAATCTTTACAAAACCTTATAAGGTAAATCAGATTAATATCATTTTGAGAAAACATACACACACACACACACACACACAAAAAACAACAACCAGAGATTTAGAGAAGTTAAATTATCTTCCTCAAACTTATGCAGATGGTAACATAGACCTGGAATTCAGTCAAAGATTGTTGGACACTGAAGCAAATATGCTAATTATTCTGCCAGTGCTGGCAATGGTGGTTGTGGGGACTTGAGACCTGGTTGCTGTTCTTTGGGTGACCATTTTGTCCAGTTATTGCCAATTAGTTAAATTTGAAGTTCTTTATAGTTCTTCGGTCTGTTTCCTTCCTCTTTTTCACCTCTGGTTATTTTCTTCCCACTTCTCATATCTCTCTCAGATTGGGAACAAAGGCCGTGATTCCTGCCCATTCCCTCCCTGCACCACAAGCCCTGGGTCAGTTAGGACAGAGGAGGAGCCAGAAACATGGTGAGGAGTCAGTTTCTCTCTCTGTGCACTTTAGCCCAGCTCTCAGGACATGTTTAGATTAGGCATACTCAAGGATATCCATGAGTCATAACTATAAGCTTGGTCGTAGATAACTGTATTGGGTGTGTTTAAATGTACAACTCTGTTTCTCTATCATTATGTGATATTTCATGTTGACTTGTCAAACTGAGAAATACCCATATTGATTTTGCAGAAAGCTTCACATGTGAGATAAATGCACTCAAAGACGCCTCACAAGTAGCTCTTTGGCGCTTCAGATGTAAAATGGATCACTCCTCAATCTGTAATAGACCCTTCCGTGGAGCTCTTCAATCAAACCTCAGAATTCAAGGTGAAATTGAGGGGAGGATGGGAAACCCCAAGAGGGGAATTTGAGTGAACTAGCTGAGAAAGGAACCTGGGGTACGTGCTGCCTCTTTTATTTTTTTTTCTTCAGTTCTTTTCTCCAGCATGGGAAGGCTGTCAATCAACGTGTGACCTTACACGCTGCATGTGTGTAATACCTGGTACAATGAGACCAGCTGTAGAGGGAGTGTCACAGGCCCCTTTGATTTCTCTCCATTTGCCTTTTTTTTCTCTCCCTGACAACCTTTGGGTTATTTTTAAAGTAGCTATTTTATACAGATTTATTATGAAAGTTTCTCTTTCCACCAAATTATTTATATTGCTGTGTTTGATAGAATAAATTTCTTATCTATTGAGAAAAGCATAAATAATCTCTCAAAGAAGTTAGTGATGTATGATAACTACTTTAGTTTGAAAGAATTGTCATATTTTGTTAAGGAATGATCCTAGCAAGTACATCTTATTTAGGAATCATGTTTGTAGATCATGTAATGACTTTTAATTAGTTTGTTCCCAGTAAAGCAATAAGACAGAGTTACCTCTAGGAAGGGAAACAGTATTCTTTTGAAATTAGTTTTCATGTTACATTTCTTATTTATTTGGGGGCACATTTTCAGTTGGACATCTCCAGGTTAATAATAATAATAATAATAATAAAAACTCTTTCAATGGGCTATTTAGTTTGGGGGAGCAGTGAATCATGGCACCAAACTAAATAATAAAAAGTATGCTTGGGAATTGATGCTCTAAATATAGAATATGTTTGATAATAGTTTTTGATGCTCAAGCTGCTATGAAACGATTGCTATCCCATAACTGGCATAGTTTTCCTAAGCCATGGAGACAGTGTTGTTTGTAAAACTCACACATCAGGCTAATCTTTAAGAGCATATTAATTGCCCGGGAGGTTTATATGTTTGCTCTGCACATGTGATTAGAGACCAGGCAGCGTCTACAGCATAATTTTAGAGATGGAGAAAATGACTATTGTAATAGTTGCTACTCTCAGTTTCCTCTACAGCAGTGCCCTTACACCTTTCTCTTTCAGGCGTTTTGTAGCATCCTAAACAGAAGGATATTGAAGGGAGCTGATTCTGCTTTGATCCTTGTGCTTGTTGTCAAAGCGCTTGGGATTGAAGAGACTGTTGGCGACAATTGACTGTGACAATTAGGAGATGATCAGAGTCCTAGAGTGGAGCACTTAAAGGGTAATTTACATGTCAGTTTGTCGAATAAAAAAAAAAGATATTCAGCTAAGGTTTTTTTCCCCCCTCCGAGCCTTGTAAACTGCAATTTGTGCTCTGGTTAGAAAAACCTGGCAGAGGAGTTAGGATAGCCATTACCATTTGAAAAGAAGCAATCATAAGGCCGCTGCTGAGCCCTTTGTCCACTAAAAATGCTGATTTGCAGGCGGTGAGTGAAAAAGTGGAACTGTCACTAAATAAAACCGTGAGCTAGGTAACTACCTCCCTCCCACCCCATGGTGGCTTTTTTGATGTTTGTTAAAGGTGCTTTAAAAAAATGGATCTTAAATCCTACACTTACTATCATTGTAACATTGTTATTGGTTATGAATGACCTTTCCTGAGAAAATAATAAAAGGATGCATTGAGGAAGCGGTAGGTGGAACGCACGCCAACAGTCAATGGAAAGGGCTAAAGCTGGCTACCAGATGTATCTTATTCGTTTCCCTTTTGTACATCATCACAATTTTCCTCTAGTCCATCCTGTGTGCTGCGCTATTTCTCCCCTACTGTATCAGTGTGCTCCTAGGCTTTTCCGTTTTATTTACACCCCAATTTTAAAGTGGGAACTGTATTTCTAACCTTTGCATATTTAGCCTATTTGAGTGCAGTTGGCTAAGTTCTTTCCAGTTATTATGAATAAAAGTGCTATGTATCCTACAATTAATGTAGGTTCCGTCCATGATGGGCTGCCATACACATGTGGTCATCTCTCTACTTTTCCATCAGGTAATCTGCAAAAAAAAATAGCATGAACGCTAAACGAGGATAATTGCCAGCAATATATGGTGATAGCAGTTGCATAACATCCATTTGATTGTGAAATAGAATAAGAAAAATTAGTTCTTTCAAAACTTTGTGAGCCTCCCCCACCCCACCATGGAAATTAATAATAACAACAGTAACGTATAGTTAGTTGCAAGATTGTCATTTGGATAATTGTCAAAAAAAAAAAAGGTTATGTCTCCATACAACCATCCTGTCTGGACAGACAGACATTTAAATTTGCTGTGTGTGTATCTGATTCAGAGATGCATGCGGACCTTCAATGGCAGATGCATGTTGCATCCCGTTTGGGGGATGCTGGCTACGGTGAAGGGCATTTGAGAGGCAGCAGAGGGTTAGAGATGAGTTGGACTTTATCCTAACACAGTGGTTCTCAACCTTCTGGCCCTTTCAATACAGTTCCTCATGTTGTGACCCAACCATCACATTATTTTCGTTGCTACTTCATAACTGTAATGTTGCTACTGTTATGAATCGTAATGTAAATATCTGATACGCAGGATGGTCTTAGGCGACCCCTGTGAAAGGGTCGTTCGACCGCCAAAGGGGTCGCGACCCACAGGTTGAGAACCGCTGCCCTAACACTTCAGCCTGGATTGATGAGAGCTAAGAACATGCACGGCTTTCCTAAGCCCATTGCTGTTCCCCCATGGCCTTCCCCTGGACACTGTGTCGGGGGACACTCACTACTTCCAAATGAGAGGGCTTTATTTCTCTTCAACAAGATGTTATTTCAAGGGGTGCCTTGTGAAAAAAGGGGTAGCTTACTTGAGGAGTTTCTGAAAAATCACAGTCGTCAGTGGGGAGCCCCATTGAAAGAAGACAGTGATTCGCAGACAGATACGGGGGCCTCCTCTGACTGCTTTGCAGGAGGGCCCTGAGCTTCGTAGTAATAAAGTTCATAGCTCTGTAGTGTGCCTTGCGTACACGACCCCCTCCCCGCCCCGCAGCAGAGAAGGACATACAACCCAGAAAGAAACAAGAATGAGTCAGTGAATAGCTGATTAGGTGCAGAGGATGATGAGAGAGGGAGTCGGAGAGGGAGGGCTGGGCCTCCTTACTGTGCGTCTGGAGAGCGCAGGCTACAGCATATCTGTATCAAAACTCGGCCCAGCAGGAGGTATTGGTCTCCCAGGTAATGGGTAAGTGATGAGCAGATGAGCCGTCCTCCTATCGATTTAAGCGTTTTGTTCCAGCCAGTCACAATTAACTTTGATTTGTTTTTACTTTCCCCTTATAGGTTTGCCTTTAGAACACTCTTGGAGCACTAATGGTCTAAAATTCTGGTAACTGCACATTCTCTTTTTAGCGGGGTAATGAGTGAATGAACGAAAAGGCAGGGATTGCTTGCCATTCTAAGTGGGAATTGCCAGAAGATTTCTACGTGACTGAGTTGTTTTGAAACAAGACTTGCAACGAAAACGGAGGGACGCTGCGTGTGGTTGTCCGATGTTTCTCCTCAGTTTCTCCTCAGAGGGGAATTCTGCAGAACTGAGCTGGGATTTAAATTTTATTTATAAGAGATTATTTAAGTGAATCAGATGAAAACATTTGAAAGTATGTATATTTGACTCTTAACAAGTACATGGGAGTCTTTTGCAAGCTCATTTGAAATTATTTGAAATGAGTTTCCCTGTTTACCATCACAGTGTTTTTTCAATACACAAATTGCCATGTTGTGACAAAATAAATCTTTGAAGTGCTTTGAAAAGTTTTTAGAAATGTGCCTAAGGAAACAATATGTAAACCATTAGTTAATTCACACATTAATTTATTGAAATAGTTCTGCTACTTAAAAGTCCTAGAACTTTTAGCACAATGTTCCAGAACATTTATTACTGGCTTGTTTTAATAAACTGCTCTTTCTTTACATGTTTGGAGGTGGTACTAGAGTTGCCAGGTTTAGCCAATAAAAAGGAAGAATTCCTAGTCAAATTTGAATTTCTGATAAATAATGAATATTTTTTTTTTTAGTATAAGTATGTCCTGCAATGTTTGCATTTTTTTCTGGCAACCCTAGGTGGTACTCTGATTGGGTAGATATTGCAACCATGCATTGACTGGATCATTTAGTTATTTATAAATTATGAATAGTCATTTGTAAGTCACTTTACCTTTCACTGTCAGATTAGATAGGCCAACCAGCTTGCTGCTTTCAAATAGAAACCAAAGGCTTTTTAACTCATTAATGCTGAGCTTAATTTCCCCCTTAAGGTTCCCGGGGCAAGCTGTGACTTGTCATTTCCAGCATCATAATTGCTGCCTGACTAATACAATGGCGCCTTCAGAGGGGTCTGGTTTCCCTACACTGATCAGGCTCTGACTGAGGTGTTTGGTGGTTACAGGGGTAGAGAAACGAATGATGCAATGAGAATATATTATCTTGGCGAAGCCACATCTGTCCTTTCATTGGCAATATTTTGACTACATAGGGAGCTGAGTTTAAAACCCTTATAATTCTGATCCTGGTAGGGGCTTCTGGGAAGGAAAGAGTCTATTCCTCACATTTCTATTTTATCTCATTTAAGTTTGTTTACAATAATCTAGTTGCCATGAAAGAAGCTAAGCTAAAACTTACAGAACATCAGATTTATCTTCGGGGCCAGCATCAGTTCAGGCTGCTATAACAAAGTCCCATAAACAGTGTGGTTTATAAACAAGAGGAAATTCTCATAGTTCCAGGATGGAAGTCTGAGATCAGGGTGCCAGCGTGGCCAGACTCTGGTGCAGCCCCTGCCAGGTTTGCCCACATGGTGGAGAGCAGGGCACTTGTCCCTTTAGTTCCATGGAAGGGCACTGATCTCATTCATGAGGGCTCCACCCTCGTGATCTAATCCCCTCCCACAGGCACACCTCCTGATCCCATCACATTTGGTGCTGGGATTTCGGCATGTGAGTTTTGGGGAGACACAAACACTCAGTCCGTAACCATTTGTCCCCGTCTGGATGCCTTTTGTCAGATGCTGTCAGTGAGGACTATTTGTAGCACAAACATTTGGAAGGCCTGTTTCCCATCCCCTGAGCCCCCAGCTACTTTCAGCCACAGCTTCAGTGAGTGGACAGTTCCTCCGGGCCCAGGCCTCCAGAACATTTTCCGAATCTCCCTAATTTCTGCCTCAGGGCCTTTTCCAGAATGCAGAAGCCTGCACACTATGCTTTCTTAAGCTAAGTGTGGCAATGTGGGGGGAGTTCACACCCTCAAAGGCAGCCCTCAATTAATGGGGGGCAGGAGCCTGTGGACAAGTGTTCCAGCCGCGTGCCCTTTGGGCAGGCCTCCTGAGAGGCACGGGGCATGCTTCTCAGAGGGCCCATCTTCAACAGCAGGGACCCGATGAGCCCTCATGGCACCTTCTTTGGATTTGGCCCAATCCTTCCTCCATTCTCTCCATGCTCTCCATTCTCTCACACCTATTTCTAGTGATAACCAATAGGCATCCCAGTCCTTGCCTCAGGCTCTGCTTCTGGGGGCACCCCTGCCCAGACACTCCTGATGCTCCCAGCACCACAGCTCTCTCTTGCTCTAGGTTTAGAGATTTTGCGTCCTTGGTATCCATCAAGGTTTAGTACTTTTCTTATTATCAGAAGAGAGTTCTGCCGCTGTACCTACCACGAAAACTGAGTCATATTGGTTACCAAGTACTTCATGCACATCCACCTCACCCGGACTCTCCTTTTCCATAAGAACCACTTTTTGCCGAACCCCCAATTTGTAACTTTCCATGCAGTTAGGAGTCCACCTATGTGACAGTTTCTAAAACCTTCATGAGGTTGTTAGTTTTAAACAACCAAAAGGATGAACACATGCAATTTCTTCGTGTGCTTTACTGTTTACCGTTGCTTTCTTGTGGCAACTATAGTAACTGGTAGTCCCTCAAGAGTGAAAGTAGAAACTACCAGAGTCCTAGTGCCACCGCCACTGGCAGGATTAGCCACACCAATGAAAAATAACAACATTAGATGTAACTCGATCTTTCCATGGTCAGCAATGGGAGCTGAGTTACAAGCAAAAGTAAGTTTTGTGTATTGGATTGCAAAACTGTAAGTGGGAATCTAATGTTTTGCCATTCAACATGTTGGATGGGAACACTTTCAGATCCAATACAAACCAAAGGAACCTCGAAATGTGTATAAATGTCTAAAGGAAACTTTTTAAAAGTTTTTGAGTGTGTGTGTGTGTGTGTGTGTGTGTGTGTGCATGAGAACCAAACTTCTCCTTGCCTACAGATTAAGTTATTTTGATTGGCTGAATTTCAATGGATAACTTAAAAAGTAATTATTAATTATTTTTTGTTTAGTTATAAACCAGTTACTATGTCTGAATCCTAATTAGAATTAGGATATATGAATCTCCGCAGCTAATATATAAATAAACATAAATTACACAACTGATCCAATTAGACATATTAGATTCACATACATGTTTACATAGCTAATGCTAACAGTGGGAACAGACTCCATCCAGAATATTTCCTAGACCAATTTTAGGAAAGTCCAGGGCATCTTCTCTCAAAATGCCTAAAGCCACATCAGCTATCCAGTCTGTCTACAGATAAGCTGTTCTTTGGGTAATGACACTCAACCAACTTAGAGGTTCTGGATAACTATCTTAATTTATAAAGATGTATACGCTACCTAACAAGTATTCATTATCATTATTAGGCAGATATTTGTGACATTTAACTTTCACTGGGAGTCCTTTCTTTGTACTAATGCCAAATTCTATTTGAATCAGAACTCTGATTTTGGGGTCTTGAAAGACAGAGTCCGAGGAATCCATACCTTTTCATAACAGAGAGAACTAGTTTCTTCTTACACGTAGATTGCCTATAATTGTTGGCAGGGTTGGGACTATTACCAGAAGTTAGAGACAGAGGGGACAAGCCATGGATCCCCACCAGCTACTATTCAGAGACCAATGAGCCCTCTGGGATGTAGCCCAACAATCTTGGGAGAGAGCCATGCTTTCTTACCTTTAAACCTTGAGCTCAGGAAAGTTGCTTCAATTCTGTTAAGTAAGAGTGACTTTACTTGGGAATATTGGCTGTTCTCCCCATTTCGGAACATATCAAGAAGTTAGTGGATTATCATGAAGTGCAAGCTTTGAAAAGCTGACCTTTTGACCATCTTGTCAATATTGAGTCTGATGTAGAAAAGGTCTCCAGTTCTTCTTTATCTATAACAAGAGGCCTGGTGCACGAAATTCGTGCACGGGGAGGAGGGTGGATCCCTCAGCCTGGCTGGCATCCTCTGGCAATCTGGGTCTGCTGGCTCCTAACCACTCGCCTGCCTGTCTGCCTGATCACTCCTAACCACTCTGACTGCCTGCCTCATTGCCCCTAACCACTCGCCTGCCTATCTGATCGCGCCTAACTGCTCGCCTGCCTGCCTGATCGCCCCTAACCACTCTGCCTGCCTGCCTGATCACCCCTAACCACCTCTGCCTTGGCCCCTGCTGCCACAGCTTTGTCCGGAATGAAGTTCAGAAGGTTGTTCAGCTGTCCAGACTAATTAGCATATTATGCTTTTATTATTATAGATAATAAAAGCATAATATGCTAATAAGACTGGACATCCTTCCAGAAGTCCTTCCTTTTGGATAAAGCCACAGCAGGCTGGGGCCCAGGCAGAGGTGGCAGAGGCCCCAGCCGCAGTGGTGGCGGGCGGGGGCCAGGACTAAGGCCCTTGCACGAATTTTGTGCATCGGGCCTCTGGTGTGAATAAGTGGCATGGCCAGGATTACTGGGTGTGTGTTTTGTCCTTGGAGCTCTCTGCTAGAGAGTTAGGCAGAGGCCGACCAGCATACGGGGTCCCTACATTTGAGTTGTAGGGACTCAGCTCTTTGACTAATAGTCTAGTGTTCTTAAAGAGGTTTCGACTTTATATCCAGGCAATAATTTAGGCACTGGTAGGATCTATATTATTAATGGTTATTTTATTATTTACTTATTCTCTAAGTGTACTATTCTGTAAATATTCCATTATTATGTAATATGATACTTAGTATAGTGCTTAGAGAATAAGTGACCAATACATAAAATTAGTCCACTATAAATATTATACAATTTGCAAACAATGCTCTGGTAGAATAAAGCAGGCTTCAGAAAACATGATTTCCCTGCACACTCTAGTTACATGAACTTGAATAGTCCTATTACTTCTCGGGCTTCCTTTCCCTAATATTTTAAATAAAGGAACTGAAACAAATGATCTCTAATTTTTCCCCAGCTCTATGGTCTATGTACTTGTTGAATGATGATTAAAAACATCTGTAATAATAAAAGCATAATAAGACCGGACAGCCGAACGACCTTCTGGATGTCCTTCCTGACAAAGGTCTGAGGCAAGCCGCGGTGGCTGTGAAGGCCGAGCCCCTTGCACAAATTTCATGCATCGGGCCTCTA